TTCATAGCACAGATTAAAGAGAAAGAAGCACTTTACGGCCTGCTGATAATTATCCACATGTTCATGATTTGGTTTGTAATAATAATAATAATAATAATATTAATAAAAAATACACAAGATACATTGGAATACAAAATAAAACGTCTGTAGAAACTGTAGACCTTTTAGCTTTGAAACAGTAAATGTTAACAGGATCATTTAAACACCTGCAGTTTGGAGATGACTCAAAAGTCTCCCATTTGTTTCACTAAAAGCCTCCTATTCCAATGTAGATACCACGTATTGGACCACAACATATAAAGTCAAATACATGTAAAATATGAGCGGAATAAATCAAAGAAATGTGCCATAACTTGCAAAAGTTTAATACACAGCTACCGTATCACCCCACTGAGAATATCACTGTGACTATGAGTATTAGGGCCATTTTTAGGGTTAACAAATGGGAGATTTTGAGAGTAAAGAAGTCAGAATGTTGCGAATATAAAGTTGTAAGTTAGAGGCTTGATTTTATAAGAAACAAGAACGACAGCAAGAATTAATACATAACAATTTCAAGAAAAGGGTTTTTGTATTTTGAAAAATATCACGACCGAAAAGTCAGTTCTTATCCCAAAATACTTAAAATGGGACTAGTTTGACGTTTTCGGAAATAGGAATCAATACCCCTCTGATATCCGTCAATTAGATATGAAGCTACAGCCAGGGGATGGTTAGCATAGCTTAGCACAAAGACTGGAAACAGGGGGGGAACAAGCTAGCGTGTCTCTGTGCAAAAGGTAGAAAGTTCAGGATGTCACTGCTCCCGGCAGAGAAATAGTCCCTCATGTGACCCCTCGTGAAACCCCAATTGGTCCTTTTCAGACTTTGTGCGGATAAAACAAACAAGATATAAAGTGTTAATTAGGTGCTATGTTTTGTTACCTTTGGACTATGCCAGGCTAGTTGTTTCCCTCTGTTTCCAGCCTTTATGCTAAGCTAAGCTAATCAGCTGGCTGTGTTAGAAATACATTTCCCAAAATTACCATTTGTCAAGCTGACAGAAGAATATTAGGTTATTCTGATGTTTTTCGTTGTAATATTTGCAACTTTGTCTCACAATATTCTGAAAATCTCAGTGTTGTCTCAGTTCTCCATCATTTACAACCAATATGACAATCATTGCAGAAACATAGCGTGACCTGGTCCTTTAAACCATGACGTGAAACAATTTCCTGCCCACATACATGTATTTTTTTTCTCCATATAACCACTTCTTTCAACATGTTTGGTCCGTCATAACTGCAGAAAAAAAATAACATTTGCATGGTTTTAATACCATTAACCTTCTTTCAAACTTAAAGTAAGCAACCAGAGGAATGAAAAAGGTGGATTTGACGTGATTATATGAGTCAAATATTGTACTTCACTCGCTCGCTCCTCTTTGGAATACGAGACAAGATAAATTACTCTCTTTAGAGCAACATCATTTACAAAAGTCCCCAGTGTGCAGAGAGGACAGATTTATTTCAGTCTCTGTCGTTACCACCCGCACATCTCGCCCCGGGGGCGCTGCCCTCCTTAATAGTTTCCCTCCACACTCGTTCAGTTGTGGTTGCTCTGATGTTCTCTGGCAGCAAACGGAGGCAGCAAGGTGAGAGGATAGAGAGCTTCTAATCGCCAAAATGCTATTTGATTTGCATGCATCGGTGCAGAGAAAAGGCACATTCAGGGAAGCCGATATTTAGACCTTTGAGGGGTTAAGGGTGCATGGTTTTGTTTGCGCTCATATTTAGGCTCTTGAGAGTGTGTTGCGTGTGGATAGCGGATGGACGTGTGGGAGGTAACATCACCTGGGTTTAAACCACCACCCAGCTGGGTCTCAGTGGTCCTCCAGAGTACTGCACAGGAGGGACTGGTCCCACGTCGCCAGGGTCTTCCTCCCCCTCTGAAGCCTCGTCTGTGTCCGTCTCCACGGCCAGCAGGACCTGAGAGAAGAAGAACAGTAAGCTAAAAGACAAAGTACAGTCGAGTAGTTATCGGCCCTGTTATGTTTGCATTCTGGGAAATATCTCAGTTCTGCATTCCCGATCTAAAGTGGAAAATATCCGTTTATTGGCTCTCCTGCAGCAGCAGGGATTCAAGTCCCACATGAGCAAAATTCCACAACTATATGACATTTACGGCATTATAAATCCCTCCATATGTTGCTTTGTGTTCGACATGTGGGGAAGCTGACATGAGCAGATTCAGAGATCGGGATGAAGACAAAGGGTCTATCACTGTCTCCAACGGCGACATCATCGTCTCCACTATAACCTTGATGTCACATGCAGCAGCAACAACTGCAGCATTGTGACCGTAGTTCTGACCACCACCCCCACCAAGACCTCGTCCAAGTCAATGCCTCTCTATCCGTCGCCCTCCTCCACTTTCCATAACTTCAGCGCGTGAAAACGACTCCTAAATGTCACTTATATTCCTGGGAAGAAGGCTTGATTTATTGGCTGCTTTGGCAGACGACCAGGGAGAAGGAAAGAGGGCGGGATCAACACGAGGGTCGTGAACCCCCGACAGTCATTTGCCCTGATGTCTGTCGGTTAAATCTTTCCTGAGAGAGGTGAACAATTCCAGGCATGAGTAATCACCACTAGGGGAGAGTGAAAAAACACATCTTTTGTGATTTGAGTGAACTCGCACTTTAAATTTGCAGAAGAAACACAATTCAAAAATCTAAAAGCATGACAGCACCTGCTCTACGTTCGTCCAGAGACTGATCTCACGGGCTTCTGCACTTTTGGCATGAGAACGAATAAACGAGATGCTATCCAAAAGAACAAAGAATTACAAAATGTCTAATTTGTATTCTTATGGTGGAATGAAACCTCAGAAACAGAAAACCAGAATCCACAAACTCAACTGTAACAAGGAAGGAAAGAGGGAACAGCCTGACTCAGTGTTTCTTGGACTGAGTTTGTTTCTCATTAGATCTTGTGTGTGTGTGTGTGTGTGTGTGTGTGTGTGTGTGCTGTGCTCATCCCCCCCAAAACAACAGGTGCGGTTGACACCCAGCGTGACCGTGTGGGTACATCGACCATCTTCACACACATTAAAGTCTTAAAGTCACATTCTTGTGGAAACGGCTCCAGCGAAACGTTTTCATTACATCCAAAGTAATCCCCTTAAAAGGCCAGCGAGTCACTTCCAGAGCAGATGGGATCTGTCCGACCGCTCCGAAGTGGTCTGGTGAGCAAGCATTTGACTTATTTAGAGTAATTAGAGTGTTTTATTATTAAAACTTTAAGACTTTTAAATGCTAACTGGAATTTAAATAAACACTGAACAATCAGAACATGGAAAACAAAAATAAGGGAAATGTTCAAGACATAAGAAAGCTTGAAGCGTAGTTTTGGATGTGATCGTTGTCTCAATTCCTAATTACAGATCTATTGAACAATAACGGAGATGATCTCTAGAAGGAAAGAGGTGATTTGATGACATCAGAGACTAAAGAAACGATTAACGGCTGTAAACAAGAGCTCACTCTGCTCTGTGCTCATTAAAGTATCCGTCCTATCGGTCATTCTCACCTGCGACTCCTCGCTGCTCGCCCAGGGCAGCGAGTCGGCCTTCTTCACCGAGCAGTCGCAGGAGTCGTCCAGGCTCTTCGTCGTCTTGTACTTCCTCATCATCAGGCTGTCCACCACCCAGAACATGATGGACTACAGGGGAGAGCCAGAGAGGCGAGACCGGGGTCACTAACGCTGCAGAGATGGACTAAAATACTTTAAAGGACTTGTTTGGACTGTTTGAGCTGGGGTTGAATGAGGTACTTCTACATAGTCAGTGTATTAATTACAGTAGAGGGAGTTTGGAGAAACACACAGGAGTACCAGCAGCAGTAAAACATACTTTATACACAAAGGAATACATTACTTTGCTCTCGTGCTGGTTCTCCTGTCTGTTTCTCATTCAACCAGACTTCTAATAATCTGTACTGTCCCTTCGACATCTAGCTCATGAGAGTGCTGCTCACGTTCACTATGAAGGGCAGGATGAGCATGACCAGCACCAGCTCCAGCTGAGGGTTAGCGATGTAGCTCAGCAGCACCTCCTGCAACTGGAAGAGGAGGAGAGAGGAGGAGACGTTAACGCACCGACTTCAGGTTGAACAAAGAGCTGTTGAGAGTGAAGAGGCTCTAATGAGATGAACTAACTCTTGATTTTAATGGAGTGTTTAAATACCACCATGTACATGTGATTATAAAACTGAATTCTTCTCATTTCACTTCAATTAAGATTGTATTGTAAGAATATCAATGCTGCAATATAATTAAATCTGATTGAAAGGGGCCATAACCATGTAGAACAAATACAAAGAGGAAGACTGAAGTACGGAGAGACTACACTACATTCTGCACCGCATAAGTTAGTGTTACTATTAATAATACTAGTATTTATAAATCAGAGTTTCAAAGAGCATGGAAACCATCTCTAAACAAAGTAATTAGTGTCTCCAGAGCTTTACGAAACAAAACTCCTTCTATCTGGAGACGGATGAATGAGAAATAAACAAATAACACGCCTTTATACTCCTTAGAAGGGCATCTGTTGCTAAGAAAAAAGCTAATTTGAATAAACAAATATGATCCCCAATGTCATGCAAACAAACTGTCCTAATACGTAAACACTGCCTCTATTTTTCCATTAGAATCTAAAGAAAGTCGTTCTTTATCCTCCACTTGTTTGGTTTCTCTCACTGGTCGCGATGGCGCACGTCTCTCGAAATAAGAGAAGATTGTTGTAATCTGGTTGACCTGGCCAAGATTGGTTTGGGTATATTAAAAAAAGATAACTATAAAAAGGTTGAAAATCTGGTATTAGATGAGGTAAAATGGGGTTCGTGCTCATATTCTACCATTTCCTCGTGTTTTCATGGGACCTGATAGCAGCACAAGCTTCTGTCTAGAGTTCTTACTTTGGACCATCCGGGGACGAGCAGCACCAGGCTGATCACAGCTTTCTCCAGCACCATGATGAGCAGGTAGACGCCACACTGACCCAGCCATGCCGCCGCCTGGGGGGGGTCACCTGGAGAACAAGAGCGGGACGAACATCGCATACAAACACTTCAGGATTTGGGATTTCAAGCACAGACGGTCTTCACATGCTGGTTGAATCAAAAGTAGGACTAAAAGATGCAATTTTACATTTTGTATGCATTTCTTCTGGCACACCAGAATGCTTTTATAATTTAATTTAAGTTATTTTAATGACAAAAAAAACACAAATGTATTATTTAATTTATTTTAGCCCACCAGAATAATGTTTTTATTTCATTTTATTTATTTTGGCACATCCACATTTTCTTCTTGTTTTGTAATTTGTATTTATTTAGATTTTTAGCTCCTGTATGTCACATGTTTGCATGACACATTCAGTATAATACGTCTAATGTCCAAGACATAACTCTGTAGCTTTAACATAATCGTACTGTAAACAAATACTTTAAACTACTACGTCCAAGATGAAGAATGCACTTACATGCATTTCAATAATAACTGTAGTAACTATTCTGCATCTTTTGTAGGACGTAAACCTACACATTTCCTCTCAGCACAGCAGACACAAAGGAGGACCAGTCTGTCATTAAGACAGGAAGAAGGGAGGAGAGAGACAAAGAGGAACTAGAGGGTGAAACAAGAAAGAAAGAAACAAACCACTGATCAAATATGAACTCAGAAGTTGTTTGAGTGAAGTTTTTAGTCACACAAAGAAGGAACGCAAAAGAAGAGAGCAGCAGAGAGATGTATGATAATCCCCCTCTGAAGCCACTGGGACTGTTTTCCAGAGGTTTGCAGCTGGAGGTGCTGGCTCTCCTCCCCGTCCTGCTCCAGAGGGTCTCCAGCGCCCTCCGGTGGCACAAACTACAGCTGCAGCTTAATTTTCCGTTTGATTCATAAAAACAACCTCTCGGGCATTTTATGTTTTAAAAAGGGGAAATAAAAAATAGAAAGACGTAAAGAAAAGCACTGATTTCTCCCTCACCATATTCTCCAAACATGAGCAGCGTCCACTGCTTGTACTCCACTAGTTTGGACACCAACTTCACAGCCAGCCAGATGACCAGCATGCCCAACGTGGCGTCCAGCAGGAAGTTCATCAGATACCTTTGAGTAAAGAAAAGGAAACGCCAGGTTCTCAGTGAGACACCCCTTTACGTCGTATCGTGACTGGTTTGTGCTGATCAACAACTCACAGGGAGCACGGGTCCTCTTCAGTGAGCGTGGACAGGAAGACGTTGGCAAAGTGGATGAACAGAGCACCGATGGCCTGCTTGGACGTGTCAAAAAACCTGGAAAAGTAGGATGGAGAATGTTAAAAAAAAAAAAAAAAGGAATTTGACTTCTTTATTCCACTGCGTTCTATCTTTCTCAACATTTTAAAGCCAAGAAACCCTCAGGATGATAGTCACAGACTAGACCGCAGGATAATATTGGAGGAGAAATGTGAAGCTTCTTATTGTCCGGATTGGTTCTTTTGATGAATCCTTGAGAGGAATTAAGGGTTCAACCAACATTTTCTTTACTTTAAGGGACTTTACTCGTCTACGTAAGTGTGTCACATGTAAGAATGAAGGACAGGATGACATAGGAGGAGAGAAAAGAGAGGAAGAAACATGTCTGACCAGATCCTCCACGGTCGTCTGATCCCTACAGGCTCGCGGAACCTCTTCACTGCAAACAAATAGAGGAAGTCAATCAATGAATCAATAACTAGACTTTAAACAACACATGTAATGCAGTTTATTTGCGGTTCGTTTGATCTTCGTCGCGAGCCTCATCACTCTGCAGGACAGATGAAACACAGACGTTCACATATTGTGTTTTTTCTCACGTAGCCACAACACTCGGTTCCTCCCCACCGGGCTCAGGGCGAACAGACGCCCACTGTTCCTCTATCTCATCTAACAAGGTCAGAGAATGGGACTGGGCATGTGAACACAGGAGCGCACACAAGCTCAGCATTCACTGATTCCAGCTCCTCAAAAATAGTTAAGAGTTAAGCTTTTCCCTGATTTATGTCATAGTAAACGGAATATTTGGGGGTTTTGTTTTCCGAAGATGTCCTTTAAGGCTTTGGGAAATTGTGACGGGCATTTGTTATTATTCTTTCTAGAATAAACGATGTATCTATTAATCATATTCGTGTTTGCAGCCCTAAATCAGAGTAAGATTGTCAACATTTGCTCTGAAAATAGGCTGGCTAATAAAACAAAAAATGCTCAAATCTGACTGTTTTTAAGATTAAAGAACTGTGTTGCTCAGCGTTTCGTCTGGATTATGCGAGTGCAGGACTACTGACGTCTCAATGGAAGGAGACTCACAGAAACAGCTCCGAGGACTCTAAACGCGGATCAGTGAAGGGGATGCACGAGGCGGCCTCGGCTGTGACTTGGCACTCCGCCACCGGGATCATAGCTGAAGGGCTGTTACTGCTCCGCTGCACACCAATAATGTGCTATAAATATTAACAGACGCATGTGCTTTGACCAAGAACGACACACCAGACGCATGCTGAGAACAGGAAAGGAGGGGAAAGAAAGAGGAGGGGGTATTGATTTCTCTTCTAATAAGTAACTGAGTGGAGGTCAGAGCTCATTGATCTGCAGTCACACTCAAGGCCTGGCCTAATTCTGCAACACCGCACTGCTCCGAGGCTTCTACTGCTCTCAAACTGGCTGCTGGCATTTTTTAAACTACACTTTAATAATTAGATCATGTGCAGACACTCAAGACATAAGTTTATGCTTCACACGATGTACAGGCGTTCGCATTTATGTCATTTTCATGTTGCATTATGGCTCCGATTTGAGATAAAAAGAAAGAATATACAACACGTATAACTCAATTAGCTCAAATATGTGAATTTCTTCGTATATTTTTCAATCAACTGAGAGCCAAGACACCTGGTAATGGAATAAAGTCAATGTGATCTTAAATGTAATCCAGGAAGTCAGAAGGAAATCATCAGTGAACAGAAGAGGTTGCATTTGAGTGCTCGTGCATTGAAACAAACCATAATAAGTTCCAAAAGGACTCAAGTGGTCCTACTTGACTCAATCCCACCTTCCCGTCTGGGACAGCTGCAGAAGTGTTAAACATGGCCTGTGGTGCCAAAAGTGGTTCAGATGCCCGACATTCTCCAAGTCAGCTGCCTCAGAATCACAAGTTGTTTAGCAGTCAGCAGCCAGCAGCCATTGTTCACATTAAATCCACACCGTGGCTGTGAAAGGAGCATCTTGTTGCACTCGAGAACACTGTGAAAGGAGCTGAACTTCTCTATACTGTGATGCTACGAGGCTGCAGCTCAACTAGAAAACAGATCTGGAGTTCAAGATGCTTTAAATCAATGTTGAATTTCACTGAGATTTAATATGCATATTGTAAGCAGGTGTTTTGGTCATTAAAGGGCATCAACAACGAAGCCCTGGCACCAAAACCTACCACAGAGAGACCATCACGACACTTTCCTTCAAAATATGGCAATTTGTGGCGCTGCTTTGCTTTCAGCCTCACATACCAGTGTGCAACTTATCATTTATGGTTAATTTGGGTCTTAAGGGCAATTTATTCAAATATGTACTTAAAGAAATGTTCATAGCGTCCATTTTGTGGAGGTGGGAGACGTTTGCAGCGATCTCAAGTCACAAAATAAATTAATTTTCCTCATAAAATGATTTGTTTACAGTTTTCAATTCATGCCGACGTTAGTGGAGAACATTTATTAGTCAAGTTATGTTCAACATGTGTTCAATGTGGGTTTGTTTTTCTGTCGACAAGCAAAGCAAAAATAAAAACTCATATTTTTCAATGGAATTTGGTGCGAAGCCGCTGAAGCTGTGCAGAAAACAAACGTCAACACAACGCCACGTGGACTAGAGCAGCCCTTTAAATAGCACGTTTCTGCACGTTGTGTTTCATGCATACTCTCCCCATATAACACACACACACACACACACACACACACACAAATAAAGACTGTGATGTTTAACAAGATGTTCGCCTCAGGTACTCACACATCAGCGTGCTGAAGGCGACGATGGCCAGCAGTCCCTGGATCAGGACGCCGAACTTGTCCGTCAGAGCTCCGTTATCGCAGCCGCCAGGACTCGCCTTGTTGATGTCGGACATGTTTGTGACTTCAAACACCAATCTTTTCACCGGGAGCACACCGCTGTGTCCGTACATGTCCATGTTGACGCGATAAAACAACAACAACAACAACAGGAGCACTAAGACGAGCTTAACCTTTCTTTACTCGAGGAAAACAAACCGCCAGATTTCTATTTCCGGTTTTTAATTAGAGGTTACGTTTTTCTTCAATGTTGCCAGAGGCAGATGCTCCATGTCGTGACGCAAAAGAGGACAAGAGAATCGATTATCTGACTCACATCCATGTTTATGACATCAACGATACGCAGAAAAGTGCTTGCTTCCGGTTTAAATATTTCAAAAATAAAAGTAACTTCCGGTTTCTCTTGGAACAGCTTGGCAGAAAAACAAAGATGGATTACAAACTGTGACAATCTGTTCCTCTATGTGTCCTCTAAATATTACATATTACAATTTCTACTTTTTTAAACAACCTTAACATGTTTAGATATGTGAGCTCAGTTGATTCCTATTCATTTTGTATCATTAAATAGTTATAAACAAAGTTTAAACAGTTATGGGCAGATAGCGGAAGATTGTTGAAATTAGTCTTGAATATAAAGATGGCAAAAGCCTATATATATATACATATATATTTTAATTTAGGTCTTCCCTAAATATGTTCAGGTATCTGCTGTCTGTCCTTAATGTACGACCGGAGATTGGAAAGAAAGCCTTCATGTTTTCTGCTCACGCAACTTATGTTTGCAACAGAAATTGAGGAATCTGATACTTCTGGCAAAAGTCAAGACTTATGTAAATTCTATGGTAAATGACTCCTATTTCAATTGACTGTATAATTGTTTCTTCTTACTATCTGATTTAGTAGGCGTATTATTTTGTCTGCTGCCTTTTATATCGTTTTATTTCAAGTGTTTACGCTGCTGTCTTGCTTGGGATTTACATGAAAAACAGTAAAGTAAATAATCCACACATTCCTATTCTTTTGTTCCCATCTTGCCTGCGTTTTCCACCTTTTTTATTTTGAAGTAAAGTTTACTTAACTTCCTGTTAGTTCATCTCTACATTGACGCAGAATCTCGCAGCAGAATTCACTTGAAAGTGCACGAGGTCCTTTTTGGTTTGTGTCAATCTCTGCCTCACGTGAATATATAGGATATATTTAAATTCAAAGTGTGTCAATAACCTATATGCATGAATGAAGATGAGAGGTAGAGGATCATTAATCACAAAATGATCTATTTATTGTCAATTTAGAGGATTAGAAACCCTGCAGGTGAGCCAACATGGAGTACAGTAACTCAGAGAAGACAATTAAGGATATTCATTGGTTGGACAAATACTTTGATTTAATTAAATATGTATAAAATATAGTTGGCTTCAAAAAAGTTTTGACTTGGATCATTCCACATACATTCTTATGGGAGTGCGTTTGGCTCTGAAATGTGATTTACATCAATCTAACTGCTTAGACGACAACACAGCCGCATGCGCAGAAGCAAACACTTTCAAATACCTGCATTTATTCACATTAACAGCATTAACATTTTCTTGAGCTGCAGACGGAACGCTTTGACACAGTGAAACTTAAAATCCAATGATTTAATTTATTAACTGACCCTCGCACCTTTTTTTAATACTCCACATGCTGTATTTAGCTATTTATGCACGATTATTATCACCATTATTCCGCCAGATTTGTTGGCGATTTGGGATTAAAGCATAAATAAATGGCCTAAATTAATAAATTACTTGCTTTATTTGACTACAAAAAACGATATAAAAGGAATGAGAATACCTTTAGTTCCTCCCTTTATATTAAAGAGTTCATTGAAGCTTTAGAAGATGCTTAACCTGCTTCTGAAACCTCAATCGTTGCCAAAACAAAAAAGAAAAACCGGTTGTCTGCCTCGTGCAGTTTGCGGTCTCATGCACAAATTGCACGCCGTGTGCGTGTGTGAGTGTATGTGTGAGTGTGTGCGTGTGTGTGTGTAAAGGGGGGGGGGGGGCATAATCCTTTCTCGCGCGTGCTTGGAAAAGCCTCTTCTCTGCAGATTAATGGAGCAGGGCGCGCACGCTCCAACCATCTGCTCCTCCAGCGGCATCACACCGGCACGAGCGCCTCTCCTCCGGTCTTTATGGTTCCTTTGTGTCTTTATGAAACAGATCCGCCGCCGCAAAATGCAACACTGGACTTCCCGTTACAGGTTTCAAAATAAAATCCGTATTGCAGCTATGATCAAATAAATTGCACCACTGTGTCATAGCCTGTACACTTATTTGAAGCCTATTTGTTGGAGTCTTTGGTGACTTTCTCCTTAAACCTGTTTGGCTCCTGTTTCCTTAAAATTAAGCAAATGTATCCTTCTGATATTATTGAATTTGAAGGTTGTTTATTCAAGCTGAATATATGCAGTATTTCACATTAAAAGAGCAAAAGCTTTCAAATTTAAACTGAAGTTTGCGGAAAATAAATATTCATTTTATTCATCTGGTGACCTCTCATATTTTGCTGACCATTGGGTGGTACGACCCACTAATTGATTTCTGCTTTTTCTTAAAAGCATAATCAGAAACACCTCGCAGACCTCTTTAATTTGATATCATAATAGCTTTTAGGTGATGTTATTTATCTTCAAAAGCTGGTTTCTATTTTGTCTAATATCCATGTCTCTATAAAGACTCTCAGTTATGAAATATGCACAAAAGAAAATGAACTTGTATGACAACATGTATTTTCCAACATCCATAAGAATGTAGCCACGTTATAGTCCAGGTGAAATCAAGCAAAACAGACAGAAAATCAACCAAACTATAAACATGCATCACGGTGTTTTTATTGACTTATTAATATGAGTGCGTCACATATTTCCTTTTAGTTTCATGATCCTAAGAGAAGGAGATAAGGGTGAAAGTCGGGGGATTTTGGTGAAGTTTCCAGGGGATTCCCAGAAAAATAACAAAACAACATACACTCAAAGGTTCAGTGGACAATAAACCTTTGACTTTTATTTTGTTATACTTGCTGTTTCCCAAACGTCAAGAGTAAACTTCCATATTTTAAGATGCTTTTATTTAACTTTAACCTTTAGAAAATGCCCCAAACAAACCTCGTGTTGTGCCAGCGGTAATCATGTAGGTTTCACTTTCTATGAAGCCAAAAAGATTTCCATGAGAGTTCAGGGTGGTTCAGCCCCACTGGGACTGGCTTATGTTTATGGAAATATGTGGCGACTTTTGAACCCACGGCATGACTATTAAACGTGGTGCAATGCGCTCCTACCACTAGAGGATACTGTTGACTTTGATAAGACATGGCCCCATTAAAATAACAAACTCTTTGGGTATTTCTCAAGAGCTGTTTGAAGAAAAGTGATTGCCAAAACCCAAAAAAGAAAAAAAATGGAGCAAGACGAAGTGGTCAAAAGGACAAATGGTTATAAACAGATCATAAATTATTGACTTTTCAGGGTTATTGGTGCACAGAAGCAGCTTGAGACGAGGGGACATTTGTGTTGCTGCTATAATCATCTATAGTTATATTTATTTTATGAACACTTTCACGTTTTGTTGATGATTGAGTGTTTTCTCCTCCTGTTAATGATACAACTTTAGTGGTTATTGGCTCAAAGGAGTAGCTGTAAACACACAAAATGACAGATTAGATTTAATTTGAGCTGCCAACAATGACTAATTGATATAGATTGAAATATATATTTAAATTGCATCAGAATAAGCTTTAATAAGAAAACAAAATGACGTCTCTTTGGAGCATCACACAGTTGTCCGGGTTTTACTGGCGACTGAACTTTACTTCCCTTTTATTTTATATAAAACTAAATGAAGAAACATTTTGTTTGTTGCAACACACACAAAAAAAAGGTCCATGAAGGAGTTGGCTTAAAAAATATCTGTAGATGGGTATTTTTTGGACATGCGCAGAAGGTAGATGCCATATTGAATCGGGGGCAGCAGCTGAAAGACGTCCCTCGCGTTGCTGTGCTCGGGCTCACGCGAACGAGGAGAAGAGAGCGAGCGAGAGAGAGAGAGAGCACGCGAGAGAGAGAGAAAACAGAGGGGGTCTCGAGACGGAGAGGCGACAAAAAACTTGGACAGGTAAGACAGGTGACGGCTCGCACGCGCGGTCCTGGAAGGGTTTCCCGTGGTTGCTGCGTTTTTTGTTCTGTCGACGGAATAAACACGGGGAGAGTTAATTTATCTGAAAAAAACACGAAGTGCTCCCGAGGCGGTTTCTGTAGAAACGAGAAGATAGTCGCGAGCGTTCGTTCACGAGCCCAAGTTGCTCAAAGTGTCTCTCACGCGCTGTAATTAACAGCTTTCACCAAGGGCTGAGAGGACGCTGTCTCGTGGCACTCTATGGTTTATAGCGTTGTGTTTTTGGCTGTCATGTTTTTAAATGTCACGTGAATTTAAATTATCTGCAAGAGTGACAGTTGGCACGTTATTTTTAAGGTGTTTTAATGTTGCGTTTTTGTGTGTAATTGTGTGTTTGATGCGCGCACCAAGTTGTTTCCACAGTGACTTATTGCAGTCATTCACATATAGATGAGTCATTTGGGGGAATTTTCTTTTTCCACCGTCACCCTAAGGTGCGTAAAAGCCATCGGAAAATACCGGACTCTGCCAAAAAATGTCAAGCCACTTTCAACATGGCGGGTTATGGCGTTCAGGAGGAGGAGGAGGAAGAGGAGTGGTGGTGGGGGGGGGGGGAGAGAAACTGCGCTTTCAAAATCTTTGAACGAGGAAAAAATAAAACGATGGCAGATAACGCGCCCGGTTCTGTTTCTTTTGATGGACACACACGACGTGAAATCAATTAAATCCAAAGTGTGCGTTTGGCGTTTCCGTGGGAGTTTTTTTCCGCTGCAGTTTTTTGAGTGTGCAAAGTACACGAGCGGAGTGTCAGCCAGCCTGCTGGTCGGCGACACCCCTCACAGCCTCATCTTCCTCATGTGCACTTAACGTTTCCTCTTTCACTTTTATCCAACAACAAAAAAAATGCTCGAGCACATGCGCATTATATCAAATTAATATCGTTTTTATTCCCAATAAAACACAGCGAGACGGTTTAATTCCACCTTTTTTTTTTTTTGGTGCGTAATCTTAGATTAAAATGTTGATGATTGCGCAGTCGGACCAGATATTATTTTCCAACCAGTTTATTGTTTCTCTTTTGGGTCAATTTGCAACGATTACGCAGATAATTGGGTGAAACCGCGCGTGTGTAGCTTATATCTGTTTAATTATTTCTCTTTTGCGGGGCGGTCTGCAAATCCGGGGTTTATGCAGCTTTGCGTTATTCGAGGATTCCGTCCCTCCAGATTAAATCCGTCACCATAATGAAGAGAAACAATAAGGACCGCGCGTTACGGAGCCGACGCTGAATGAATAAATCATGCTTCCAGACTTCTTGTTGCTCCTAATATGTATTTATTTCTTCCACGGAGCTGAGAGAGGAGATGTGAGAGCGGCAGCGTGAAGATAAATAAAACCTGCCCCCCAAAAATAGAGCACTTTTAAAGGGAATGAATGGAAGCGTGGTAAAACATATATAGGATATATTTCCTCCACGAGGAGAGATCAATGACAGTCCTGCTGTATTGATACGTTATTGATGGTTTGGACTGTTTGCCTTTTTTTTGTAAGAACCACCCATCAGCCATTTTTTTTTGGATAATTTATCTGTTTTTTTTTGATGAAGGCATTGTGTGTTAATGTTCTGGTGAATGTTTCCACTCAAAGACAATCAAAGAATTAAAGAGAGACGGAACCACAGAGACACAGAGAGGACACTTTACAGGAAATGATGAGGTCAGGACCAGTTCTGTCTGTCTTTCTCTCTGTCTCTTTCTGTCTGTCTCTCTGTTTCTGTTTTTCTCTCCTTTTGGTCTGTATGTCTCTCTCTCTCTCTCTCTCTCTCTCTCTCTCTCTCTCTCTCTCTCCTTTCTATCTGTCTTACCAAACCAGCTCCTCATGTATTTGAATAAGGTGGAGGACTTATTGAAATGTCAGATTTGACCTCTCCTGTGTGTGAAACACAAAGAGTCTCAAAGCTGCAGGTTGTGTCAGCTTTAAGTGTTGAGCACACACACGTGTGTGTGTGTGTGTGTGTGTTTGTAGGAAGTTGTTTCCAGTCATTGATGTTGAAATAAGAACGCTTTGGGCCGAGGGAGTCCCCCCCTTGTTTTTTTAGTTTTTTTATGCTGTTTGCACTTCATCATTTTATAGCGAGCTGATCTAAAGTGAGCATCACAGCCTGTCGTAATTGGGCATGAAGCACACAGGCTGCATTGTGTACACATTCAAAAAAAAGAAAACTGTAGGAATCAAGAGGAGGAAACAGAGAGCAAATTGTTATATGAAGGCCTCCTGTTGCCAAGAGGAAACAACTCTTGGATGGGTCTAAAAGAGGAGAACCTAATGGGGAGTAATGCAATAAAACCCCAAGCTCATGCAGTGGCAGTTAATCTCCTAAATCCCCCCATTAAATCTTTGGCATGGATGGGTTTAGGGAAAAGGCAGGAGGACAACATGTGGATGCCCAGCGACCCATCAGGGGCTAATCAATAAATAAAAAACCCTCTCAATCTGAGACCACGGGGGGAAACAAATGTCCTGAGATTAACTCTCCCGGACCAGTTTAATCCCCCAGTGCCCAATCTGGACTGTTCCCTCAGGGACGCTGCAGGCCAGTAAGCTCCATCAAGTACAAAAAAAAAAAAGGTCTCAGGGAGGAGTCACATAGTTGACATTGACAGCGACCTCGTTTAACCAGTGAGGGACCAAATTAAGAAGCGCTCACCGGGAGCCGAGAGCGGGAAGAAAAATGTGATTAAAGTTGACTTGTTATGGTTGTTTTCTAGCTGTGACTGATGAGAACATGTTGCTTTCTGTGGAGGATTTAGCTTTCAAGTCGCTTGTGTTCACCTTTTACAAAGTATTCACACCCTCGGGTGTTATGGGAGAAACGTAGACGTGGGTCGTTGTTAGAAAAGAGAAGGTAACGTGAGACCAGGAGCTCGGTAAGAGGAAGAGTAAAATGTGTGTTTTAAATTCCAGAGGGCAATCCAAAAAGTTTGCTGAGATGATAAATATGTCAGGGTGCATTTTGGGGAAATGAGCAACGGAGTCCAAAAGTATTTGGACGATGACACATTTCCTGTTTTTTTTTTTTTTTTTT